CTTATAACACTATAGCACTGTATTGTGTACTGTACATTGGATAGAGCGAACTGACGTTATTCTCTCTTTCTTACTCTCTTTCCATCTCTTTCTCTCTCCCCTCCCTTTCTCCCTCCCTCCTCTCTCTTCCCCTCCCACTCTCTCTCTCTCTCTAGCTCTCGCTTTCATGAAATAAGTGTAAGTGAAAGTCCAAAAAACACTGCACATATGCTTAATAACTTTGCCTTCGACAATAAAATCGCTTATCTTTTACAGCTCCTGTGACGGTGACAGTAACATTCACGTGCCTTTAACACTGTCTACACTTCCATGCATGAACCGAACCCCCGAGAAATCAATTCAGATTGCGTGTGTATTGACCGCGATACACCTGTGTTTTAATGTGTTCAGTGCGAGACGTATACCCTTAGGTTGATAAATGCTATGCTCTGAAACTCATTAACCTCGGTGTCTTACTAATTACTCAAATTAACATGGACTGAGTCACGCTTTGCTTTCGGTCCCGTTACACATTTCATTGTATGGTTTCCGCCAGTAGGTTGTCTATGCCTGTATAGGACATGAGTCATTTCACTAGTGTATTAATGCTATTGATTGTGTTTATATGTGTCGCACCATCCAGCAGTTTAACGGGGCAGCTGCCGACATGGCATCCCTGTTGCTAAGTAACAGGTAAATCATTGATTCAGAGACATGCGCAGTCAACTGATAGCAATTAGAGTCAGGGCGTGGTCATACTGCAAGCTTTAAGAGCAATCTACTAGGCACGCTGTCGCTGCAATGTGTATTTAGGCTCTGTTACATGCATTGACCTTAAGATAAACATGTTTCATGTCTCGCTGAATGTATCTCAAACACGAAGTACAATTTAAAACGTACGTCGTAATGTTTCAAACTGCAATAAACTACGTTTAAAACGAACACGGTTATAACGAACTATGGTTATAACGAAATGATTTCAGTAACGGACACTTGCTGTAGAGTTTAGTCGAAATGCGTATAACGAACTTCGGTTAGAATTAACTAAAATTAGTAGTCCCTTCGAGTTCGATCTAAGCGTAGTGTACTGTGTCATGAAGATATTGGTCCTATAATGGTGCTCATGCATTGATTTTATGAAAAGTATAAGTGTTTCTTATAGGAAGTAATGGAGGTACTGGAGCATATATTTTTTAACAAGTGCTTGACAAGGATTTTAAAACTTAACAAATCTATTGATCTAACGAAAATAAAAGTGCATGGTCGATAGTTAATCTAAACAAACAGACAAATTTAGGTTAACATATTTTGACATAAACTATTATATTATATTAATTCATATTAATCTTATCTCTTATCTCATCTCATCTCATCTTATCATCTTATCTTCTCATCTCCTGCCGCTCGACATCTTGTTGTAAACGGTAGGCCGTCAGTTTGGAGGTGCAAGTATAACATGTCCATGAGTCAGACTGTGAAGTCAAGCGAACTGTGCTGTAGTACACAATAGCATATACCCATAATACCACCACCCCGTGCACACACTGTATATGTGCACCCGGAAGAGGGGGGAGGGGGAGGGTAGGAGGGGTGGATGTTGCAGAGGTCTCGCTATATGAATTGTGCACACACAGAGTGGTGCACACATAGACTCTACCCTCACTGTAGTCACGGACTGATTAGTTCACAGGTGTTTTATTTTAAGTCTACAGCAAGATCATACACCTGGATGCCATTTTTCGGATTTACCTTCATATGAAACTGAAAAGCATTTTGATTAATGTATTTTGTGAAATATATTTTTAAACAAAAAAGGAAATGGAAGAGAATTACTACATGGCCAAAATACCTTCTGATAAGTGAATGAGTTTAGTTGTACTCCGCACTCAACAATATTCCAGCTATATGGCGGTTCTGTAAGTAGTTAAAGGTTCTGATTCATGGGGGCAGGTGGAGTAGCCTAGTGGTTAAAGCGTTGGCTCGTCACGCCGAAGACCCAGGTTCGATTCCCCACATGGGTACAATGTGTGAAGCCCACTTCTGGTGTCCCCCACCGTGATATTACTGGAATGTTGCTTAAAGCGGCGTAAAACCCAACTCACTCACTTTGCAAGAAGGGACCATTGCAAATGGATCGGGTTGTCAGTGACATTTACCACATTTATGCAATTCATTTTATACATTCACTAATAATTGTAAAATATGTAAATCCTGCAAGGTATTATCTTTTTGAGAAAAAAAAACCCCATTAATATCAACAATAATACCCTGGGTTACTAATTTAGAAAAAAAGGCTGTCCGTTATATTCATTTTGCACTGTCTCTTTAACCTCAAACAATAAGCGACATAAAGGAATCAATGAGATAGCCTTTCCCAGCAATTGCTTCCTGTCCCAAGTTGCCTAACATTATCGTAACTGCACCATGAACACCAGGAAGTGATGTTAGCGACAGCTCGTCAATTCCATCCACTCTATTGTGCGTGCTAATGACGATTATCTGCCAACTCGGCCCGTTGTCAGTCCAGCGTATAATATACCCCTTGGTGGTTAAGGCAATACCAAATCCTATTAGACCTTTTGCGATGTTTTACTAATGCTTCGTGAAGATTGTTGGTAAAATGGATTACGTTTTTAAGCTCCATGATACAGAATTGTATTTCATTGTTAAAGGTCATAGAACAGTTTACATTATAGAAAAAAATGTGTGAATTGTAAAACGAATTTGACCACAATTTGAATTGATCAACCCTTTTGGACAGGTGTAGAAACAAGATGATGTACATTTTAACGACTTCTCATGTTGAATGAAACCACACATGTACATTGTAGAGGGGATTGTGTAATATATAAAATATGTGTTAAATCAATATTTCTCCTATTAAGCAGGAAGTGCAGTTTACCGTTATTGCCACGTTCATTTTGAATGGACGATATTGACACATCTGCTGGGGTATTCCATGATGTCTTTCAATAGTCACTGATTGTCGAACGTTCAGTGCAAACATAATTTCATTGCATACAAATCTACATTCAACTTTCCCAAAGGGAAATGATGTTGATAGTTTAGAATTGAGTAATGATATCTGGTCACAATGGCTATATAGGGAAGAAAAACGAAGGGAGTACATTATTACATCCAAAGCATGATTACATCCAAAGCAAGTCATCCGTTCATCATTTCCGGAACGTGTTCCAAGAAATCTGTAAATCTGTCAGATCGACAAAATGTAGTATGTCAAAACCCCAGTGAACTAACGCATGACCAAAACAGGAGTCTGTGTGTAACCAAATATCTCAAGGTGATTAGATTTCTTATTGATAATATTCAGCTAAGACCAACCAATCAACAAGTAGGGCATTATTAGATCATGCTTCAGGAATGCTTTTGTGAATAAAAATAAATAATAGAAAAGTGTTTGTGGTTCATGAGGTGATTAATTGAGAATGCCAGAAAAGATGCAAGTATTCATGGAATATTCATTGGGAGTAAGGAGCTCAAAGGAAACAATAAAATGAGGAGAAGCATTAATAATTCATGTCATCGGTGTGGCGTTGTCGCGTGTCAATGTTATTAGGGATGACTCATGGGGGACGATTGTTCTTATGAAATTGTGCCTATACATTGATTATTGCCTTAACCTGCCGTTTTGAAGACAATGATGTTTGGAGAGAAATAGCAACAACATAATTGCAATCAGATCGATAGTTTCCTTTGTAAAGGCTACATGTCATAATGGAGGGAGATCAAGCGTCATCAAGCACATTTTATTGATATACAAAATAAAATTCCAAAACCACAAGAAATAAATCTCTAATGACAGCAGAGTCTATTCTAGGATTTCGTCTAGATCGCGGACATGTGTAATACGAATCACTATCAAATATTGATGAACAAGGTTTGTGAAAGGGAGAGCGTATCTTAGTCTAGCGGTGGCACCCATCAGAAACACATGCGCAGGCAAGGCAATTGTGCAAATGCTTTAACTTTGGAAGTTGTTAAATATTATTTTTGTTCACTCAGAAACTTCGGAAATATTTCTGTTCTATTTGTATTTCGTAAGAAATTAGCAATATGTTGATCCAGGACCCCGTTCCACAAAACGATCGCAGCGGTGATCGTAACTCCAATACTTTGACCTAAACTTGCGACTGTCATAGCGCTACGATCGCTTTGAGGAATGGGGCCCATGATAACAACACATCCGTTATCTATGCCTGATGAAATACCTGTTCAAAATAGGATAGGGCCTACTCAGCAACGCTTTATTAGAAGCATTGACTTTCTTGGCCTTGCTGACCATCGAGTGACCATTTCCCCTGCATATTTCATATGAAACTGTCTAATAACAGACAACATGTTTTCAGTACTTTCCAGCCTTCGTAATATGTTGTATGGGGGCGGTGGGGTAGCCTAGTGGTTAAAGCGTTCGCTCGTCACGCCGAAGAAACGGGTTCGATTCCGAACATGGCTACAATGTGTGAAGCCCAGATCTGGTGACGCACCGTCATATTGCTGGAATAGTGCTAAAAGCGGCGTAAACCATACTAGCTCACTTCTAATGTGTTGTAACCCATATACTTGTTTTATGCAAATATGTATATATTTGAGTTTATAAGTACAGAAATCATAGCTTTGGACAAATCTGGATAAAAACGATGACAGGTAAGTGTGTAATCACTGTACATTTGCTTGAAAACATGAGTCATGAAATACTATATAGTGATAGATTAAATGTACATTGTCTTACCGTGAGTCACAGCGACAGATGTCACCTGGACCGTATTTCCACAATCCCAATCAATATACATGAACTACATACGCAGTTCAAACACATTCATTCATAAATGCAAAATATAGTTGATAACTTAAATATTATAGCATCGTTAAACATGACATGTGCAAAACAATAGCCGGTTCTGACTCTCCTCAGAAATAGATGATGTTAGATATGCAACAGAACAGATTCAGCAGACCATGAACATTATTTTATTATGGTGTTAGGAATGTTTTTCACGTACCTTTACATGCTTTGACAACGAGATCGACACAGTCTTCTCTATTCTGACGTCTCAGCGCATTCAGAAGGACGAAGACTGTACTTCCACTTCTTTTACCCCAATCTCGGAGCATGCGGCATCCTGGAAATACCTGAATAACTTGAGCATGGCGTCTGATCTGCTCCACTTCAGCTGCCGTACTGATACCCAGCTCCTCCGCCACACCCTCCCAATTGCCAGCCACCCCCCGGACTTCGTTAAACAGCATCATCCCCAGGTTGTCCAAAGCCTGGCCGGGTAGCTGATCCACCCGGTGGTCTAAAATCTGTGGTGAAAGGTTTTCGATCGCCGACACTCGTCTGTCGAGGTCCATCCTCCACGAATCGTTCATGATGATCTGTAATCTGTTCGTATCAATGAGGCTGTAAGTCCTTCTTGGAAAGTTATCCTTCAGTCGCGGAAGTCCAGTTTGATAACAACCTCGGCCTCCATTGACGTCCCGACACCGCAACAGGTATACTGACAAATTGTATTGATATTATGTCCGGATGTGTCAACTTGCGGCTAATTAAGTCATAACCTCTCCGCCCACCTTTTCACCACAGCCCGTGTTAATATTGAACACCGTTCACCGTTGTAAGCGAGTGTTTACTGTTTCGCTATAAGGTGTTGTGACTTGAAACATGCCTCCACACGTCACGACCAGACTGGATTCTGATTGGTTGTTGTAAATAGGTCGGGGAAGTCGCTGCTATTGTCAACAGTAATACGTCACGACCTGAGGCAGGTCCTGTATGAGCAGTGAGTCTTTACCGATAAACATCAATCTTCCGACACGCTCTGATTGCCATCATGTTTAGAGTCTCTATGCGAATTCAGGCTGAATGATAACAAAGAACACGGTTTAATGTTTTGCTGTGTCAAAGAGTACGTTATATTTTTACTTTGTACATGCTTTTATACACGTTTTTTTATCGATGGATTGGAATAACACTACAGTATGAAATTTTAGCAAACCGGTCTGTTAAGTGATTCGTTCGCATTATTGAGTGTCCGCATTAACAATTGTTTTGCAGATAATCTTATTTTGTATAATTATTGAATCTTCAAACACCTGTCAAGCCGTAATATATCCGAAATGCCGTTCAAATCTACTTTACATTCACCCACTAACGGTTGTCCGGAAAGCGGAGTTTAAAGATTAAAGGGGTTTCCCTTTTTTTTAAACTGTCACGGTAGATCGGATATCAGTCACGACCAACCTGACATGGCACGTTATCATTGCAACATGAACTGCTCCAGCAAGCTCGGTACTTCTGTGTTTGAATCAACAAGGAAGTTGTGTGAAGTATGTATAAGTGTCTGACAATATTATTTTCATGACCTGGGTGGCTGGGTATTACCTTATCTCCAAATTAGCATATGTTGGCGCTTTATATTACATACACATGTTGGTGGCTGTTTAACGCGGTCTGTAAATAATCGACTGGTCCAGACAATCCAGTGATCAACAGCATGAACATCGATCTGCGCAATTGGGATACGATGACATGTGTCAACCAAGTCAGCGAGCCTGACCACCCGTTAGTGGCCAGGCCCGACGAGCATGTGTTACTGAAGATCAATTCTGACCCGGATTATACACATGTGATATCTGAAATATTTGTTTGGTGTTAAAACTCCGCTCTCAGCAATATCATAGCTGTACGACAGTGGCTTGTAGATAATTGATCCTGGACCAGACAAACTAGTGATCGATAATGTGAGCAATGTCCTATGCAGCGGGTACGATCACATGCATCTACCAAGTCACCAAGCCTGACCACGGGTCCTGTTATTCACCTCTTACGATAAGTTTTGTTTGTTTGTTGTTTAACGCCGCACTCAGCAATATTCCAGCTATATGGCGGCGGTCTGTAAATAATCGAGTCTGGACCAGACACTCCAGTGATCAACAACATGAGCATCGATCTACGCAACTGGGATACGATGGCATATGTCAACCAAGTCAGCAAGCCTGACCACCCGATCTTGTAATTGTCTTAGGACAAGCATGGGTTGCTGAAGACCAGTTCTAAAGCGGATCTTCACAGGTTCTCTTACGGTAAGCATGGGTTGCTGAAGACCAGTTCTAAAGCGGATCTTCACGGGTTCTCTTACGGCAAGCATGGGTTGCTGAAGACCAGTTCTAAAGCGGAACCACGGGTTCTTCCATCTGCTGAAGACCTTCACGGGGTTCTCTTTCTCTGAAGACGATAAGCATGGGTACGGCAAATGGGTTGTGAAGGATGCGGATGACGGCCTGCTGAAGACCAGAAACGGATTGCAAGCATGCAGATCTGAACGGGCATTACGTGGTGGACGCCGAACATGCAGACTGAACATTACGTCCGCCGAAGACCCGGGTTCGATTCACCACATAAGTACAATGTGTGAAGCCCATTCTGGTGTCCCTCGGCGTGATATTGCTGCAATATTGCTAGAAGCGGCGTTAAACTCATTCACTCACAGGTAAAAGTAATCGGGGATACGTATTGTTGCAAGGATGTAACTGTCTCTGAAAATATAAACTATAAAAATCTAAAACTACATATCATTTCCAAACGAACCCCAGTGGACCTGTGGAAAATCGAGACATGCTTTATTTCAGAGTTTTGCTTTGCAGAAGGGCCAGGTGGAAGGGAAAATAACGTGTTTCAGGAACCAGGAGACAGACTGAGAGATAAGCTGTCAAGCCAGGTTGAACAAATCTTCCGGGTTCTCGGTCGAACGATAGGCAAACATAAAACATAAAAATCATACTTTACTTCTTAACGCACTCTCATAAAAAATGTTTGCACTGAGATCACATTGGGTTTTATTATTTATTTTAGATATAAGCGACAAAATTATTTATGTAAAAAAACGAAATCTGTGAAAATGTGAGCCGATCGTACGATCCCGACCATATCATGAGCAAATGTTTGAATCATAAGCAAGTTATGAATTACTATCAAATAGTGAAGACACCAGGTGTCAAGTGAGTGAGTGAGTTTAGTTTTACGCCGCACTCAGCTATATTCCAGCTATATGGTGGCGGTCTGTAAATAATCGAGTCTGGACCAGACAATCCAGTGATCAACAGCATGAGCATCAATCTAGACAATTGGGATGCTATGACACGTGTCAACCAAGTCGGCGAGCCTGACCACCCGATCGTAGTAACGGTTTGACTTGTTGGTTTGTTCAGCATCATTTCACACATATGAATAATATAATGGATAATCAAATCAGGACAAGGTCAACCAATGACAGATATTATGATTAACGAACTACTAAATATCTGAACGATGACACCATATTGTCACGTGACCGAGACTGACCACCACATCCTTTAAGTAGCCTGTTACAGCCACCATAAATCTCTGGGAACACGTCCTAACCAGGATCCTACCCGTGAAGATCCGGGTTAGAATTAGTGTTCAGCAACCAATGCTGTTGATCAGTGGATTGTCTGGTCCTGACTCGATTATTTACAGACCGCCGCCATTTAGCTGGAATATTGTTGAGTGCCTTTATAGTATATTTTTACATTTGTCTTAAGCATTGTATTCATTACAAACTGGCGTGAACAAACATTACAATTTTCTTTTATATTATTACATTTTTTCACTCATCTGAAAAACCCAGCTCTTCGGGGACTTCCCCATAACCTGTATTGTGTCAACGTAGATGAAAGCAGAAAACACGAGGTATGCGAAATCGGATGTTGCTAATATCAGCATGATTTGCACGGGTTTCATGACCAAATCACATCCGGAGTTGTCTACAGAACAACCTCATTAACAAGGACTGTACTGGTGAAAGTTAAATCCGGACTAACCAAGTTTGTCTGTTTGTTGCTTCTAGCCGCACTCAGCATTACTGTCTGTGAATAGTATGCTATACACCAGACAGTCCTGCTTTTGAAATTAATCACATGAATTTACACAATTGGGATACGATGACATAAATAGAGAATACTAAACGATGTCCCGTGTAATACCATATTTAGAGATTTATTACCTGCGAGGGCGAAAATATCGGGGTTCATATTTTTCATACGATGCCCTAGTGCAAAATATCACTTTGTCATGGTGACGTGACGTCATGAACAATGCTATGACGTCACGTTTCTTCTATGACGTTGCGTTCTACATGGCTACTGTGGGTAGCCAGCCTATATTAAAGTAGATGTGGATTTACTTTCCTAAATTTGACGACTTAGGTAATAAATAGAATATTATGTTCGTGCCTAAATATCGGTATACCAACATTTAGGCACTCCTGTCATAAACTTAGTATGACATGGGCACTCATATAATATCCTCTATTTAGTAGCCTCAAAAGACAAGGTTTTTATGTGTGCTCCACATTCCTCTTTTGAAGCTTTGAGTTTCACATACTGCATGAGCTATTGCATGCAGTACCCAAACAGCTTTCAATCCACATCATTGTGTAAATTGGTTCTATCCGGATTAGAATTGGTCATCGGCAAGCCCTGTATACTAGATGGAGAACGGTCCGGCTCGGTGAATCGTATCCCAGTTTCGTAGATCGATGATCATGATATCAATCACTGGATTGTCTGGTCCAGACGTGATTATTTAAATACAGCCGTCATACCACGACGATATTACTAATGGTGGCGTTAAATAAAACAAACTCATAGTCAGGGTGAAAAGGCACTTCGACGACAAAGACATCGGTATGAACATACATTCATAGTCTGTGTCACAGTCCCTGAATCACGTTATTTTCCCCTACTGCCTAGCCCTCCCTGAATTGCTAAAGCCCTAAATGAAGCAAGTCTAGATTTGCTCCAATCTCACTGGGGCTCCTTTTCAGTTTAAATGGGTTTATTTGTAACTATATATCAAAACTATATTTTCAGAGACTAAGCATTAGTATAATACATTCATTTAATATTTCGTGAGAAAGAATGAGTTGATTTACATATGTTCCAGAATAGACTTCACATATATTTTTAATGCGGTCGATCAAAACCGGTTAGACAGTCTTCGGTGACGTGGTTGATTTAGATTCACGTTACCGTAATACCGTGACGAGTATATCTGATATCAACGGATCGCAACCGCCTAGACTGTGTACTTTACAACAAACCCTGATATGTATGGAATACTGTTGACTGCGGCATAAATAAACACGGTACCAGAGAGTAACTTCACTCTTGATTTGATGTGTAGTACTAAATGGATTTGAAAAACAGGTCTGAAAATGTATATGGCTGTTTAAAAACAGATTTGAGAAGCTGACAAAGTGTCGCCTGTTGCGGACATAGAAAGTGTCAGTTTTATGATGAAATGTATCAGCTATCTGTTCATCGTCATTGTTCAGTCGAAGTAGGTCAACGGGAATTAACGCAGTCACAGTTTCCATAGCTTTGATATACGAATGAATGTTTGTCAAAATGATACGAATGAATGTTTGTCGAAATGATTCAAATGAATGTTTGTAAAAATTATTAAAATGAATGTTTTTCAAAATGATACGAATGAATGTTTGTTGAAATGATACGAATGAATGTTTGTCAAAATGATTCGAATGAATGTTTGTCGAAATGATACGAATGAATGTTTGTTGAAATGATACGAATGAATGTTTGTCAACATGATACGAATGAATGTTTGTCGAAATGATTCAAATGAATA